CTGATAATTGGATTATTTAATATTTCACCCAGGGGGTGTGCGATAGATTTACCTCCACGTGGTGCACCCTGGGCAACGTAAACTCATACGGCAAAAGTCTATTAACCGGCAGTTGACTTCTCACTTCAAACTATCATCACCTCACTGTATGTCATATTCGACCCCTTTCACAGTACTCATCTTACCTTTTTCTCTACCTTTGTGTCTGTCTGCCTCTTTTACATCTGTAAATCGCTCTTCTGATCCCCACCCCTCGACTTTCTGCTACTTTGATGAACCTTCCTTCTGTGAAGCCAGAAGTCAGCTAAATGGCTAATGATAGCTATCATAACGCCTGCCATTTGAAATAAATATTTCACCCAGAAATGGATTTGGGTTTCTGGGATCTCTATATCTGACCGTTCCTTTTAAATAAACAGCTATGACATCCTCAAGCTCATGTAGACGACAGAGACAAAATTCTGTATCCGTGGCAGGTATATTAAAGTGACCATGAGCGTGATTCATAATTGTCTATGCCTCTTTAGGTCCTCTGCACTTGCCACTGGCCTCGAAGGTCTCGTCTCTGTGAAAGTCATTTTGCTCAAGATATACCGCATTTGCATCTTCAGCAGACATGTAAATAACTTGCAACTTTTTTAAAATCTCTTTTTTTACTCCCCGAGTTAGAGTACGATTAGATATTTTTCTACGTTTATATGGAACCTCTGATTGCTGTTTATGAATACCATTTTCATTCAACACGTATAATCCATTATATAAGCGACCAAGCTTACCAAATTTCGCCTCTTTATCCAGCAACTCTTCTGCGACTAACTCAGTTGGCAAGCGGAAGTGACAATTCTTTCTAGCACCTATCTTAGTGGTAAGAAATGATTTAAGAGCATCCTCAATTTGAGAGAGGTGGAAGTCTTCATTTTCATTAGACCCCACTGTGTCATTTAAATATCGTAGAGCACCACTGTGGTTTTGACTAATAAGAGGAGTATTCACTTTAACACCTCTTAGTACACTCATATTAGTGGATTTCGGGGTGCGCAATAGACTTACCTCCATGTGGTGCACCATGGGCAACATATACTTATACGGCAAAAAGTCTATTTATCGGTGGTGTGCGTAGACTTACCTCCACGTGGTGCACCCTGGGCAACGTATTCTCATACGGCAAAAAAGTCTATCAACCGGCAGTTGACTTCTGATTTCAAACTGCCATGACCCCACTGTATGTCATATTCGACCCCTTCCACAGCACATCACCTCACTCTATGCCATATTCGACTATTTCCACAGTCCTCACCTCACCTTTGTTCTACCTTTGTGTTTGTCTCTTACTACTAGAAGTAGTAATCAAAATTTTGTTCTCTTTTGTGTGTTCGTGGAGTGAAGGTGATGACGAATGAGTTTAGATATTTGTGAATGTTCCAAAACCTAAACAATTTTCAAAAGTAAATGAGTTTTCAATCTAGGGGACTCTAGGTGAAATTGGCATATAAAGAAAGTACTTGAGAATAATATTGTCATAGCCAGTGCATTAGTATTTCGATGATCATCTGAGCAGTATCCAAGCTAACTAATGTGTCTTTGGTTCCATAATCCGCCCCCTCACATTTTGCAAACATATTAGCTAATCCGAAAATAAATCTGATCAGTTGATGGTTACCGAATGCAAAAGGGGCTCCAAAAGTCTACTCATCTTCCCAATATCTACGTTGGAACTTGGTTATTTTAATAAATTTAAGCATGATTTTATTTAAATTTTATGCATACTGACAGGCGTTCTGCATTTACAAGACGATACTTTTCATTTCTTCGAAATTGAGTCTCTTATGTTCCCGCCTTTAATTATCTAACTAAAGGGTTAATTTCTTTTAGGAGGAGATTGATACGATTACCAAGTCTGTGGCCTTTGGAGATGACGTGAAAGACAATGAGGATAATGGAAACCAGAAGTTGATTCGTCGCGATACTCCACACTATACTAAGCGTGCTCGTATTCACAGTAAGTTTTTTGCTCTTCACTTCCCATAGCGTCGGGCTGCTGCGTTCACCAACTTGTTGTAATGTGTAGCAAGGTCCTTTTAGCGGGTATGCTACTGTTGCTTAAACTTTAGAGAAAGAGAAGACACATCTGCCTGATATGACTAGTTTAGTAACAAAGCGTCTATTAACTGACCCTAGAAATTATTTATACACCTAATGCTTCATTTCTCCAAACTGTGCTCTGTTGTGGAAAACCTAATCAATCATTGGGTTTCATTTTTGTTGTGGTAGAACAGGATTGGTCACATGCGAACAAATAGTGAATATCGGTTAATTTCGCCATATCGCGACTCGCAATATCGATAATGGCAATGAGTTATAATGATGGTGGAAAATATTGGCAATTTCGGTCCATGCTTAAGCATTTCTACGTATTTTTGTGAGCTTCCCATTGATAAGAAATAAGTCAAGTTACCTCCAGGTCTCTGAATAATAGTTAATGAGTATATGTACTTGTAATGGAGTAATGGCCTTCTTATTAATCGTATGCTTCGTATCCGTTTCAAAGCATATTATTATAGGGTAATTATTGAACCTTGAACAACCTAAGTTCTAGATTCCACTGATTTTTTATTGATTCCTTTGAATGTGTTTTACAAATTTATTTACACAAATGGTAAGAAATCGAATGTTGATTTATCGTCTCGAATTATGTGCGCACATTTTCGTTGCCGCGAGGTTCGAAATATCGCTTGAGTGTTATATAGTATTTTTATAATTTAGGCGTGCTACCACGCAGTAAATATCTATCTATAGGAACAGCCGATCGTTCTTTTATTTTTTTTATATTTGGATGGAGGGGGTGTGCGTGCGATAGATTTACCTCCATGGCAAAAAAGTCTATTAACCGGCAGTTGACTTCTGACTGCAAATACCATGGCACGACTGCTTGTCATATTCGACCGCTTCCACAGTACTCATCTTACCCTTTTCTCTGCCTTTGTGTCTGTCTGCCTCTTTTACATCTGTGAATCGCTCTTCTGTTCCCCACCCCTCGACTTTCTGCTACTTTGATGAACCTTCCTTCTGTGAAGCCCGAAGTCAATTAAAGGGCTAATGATAGCTATCAAAACGCCTGCCATTTGAAATAAATAAATAAATAAATTTGTAATATTTTGTTATCATTTCGGGAGCTGGAGCGCAGGGACATGAAAATGTACTCGGAAAATAATTACTACAAAAGTATTTGTTAAACATTCGCTCTCATTTTACCTTTTTACCATGAAGATGGTGTTTTTGGAGACCTGTTCCATTAATTATCTCAAAAGTTCATCTAATGTAGACTAACACTGCACTCCATATTTGGACTTCGTGCTTGGAGTATCAGAAAGACAATATCACACTTGCTAATTAGTTTTTCAAATCATCTCTTCCACAGTGTACAAATATACCCTTCTCTTCTGGTAACCCTGGGTTTCAAGAATCCTACAAGAATTCTCTCGAGAGGAGTTTCACATACGGAATGGCTGGTAGTGACTTCTATAGGCATTGACTACAAAAGTCACTACACTTTTACCTACCGTATTGGTTCGCCAAATTCAGGATTTTGTGTAGACTTTCCTTTCAATTCAGGCTCTTCAGAGACACTATAATGCAGGGCTTTCATGTTCCAGCTTCTAACTCCTTGGCTGAAGCTGCATCAGAGCAGAAAAGAGTGAGTTATCAGAAGTGCACTCACTCAAACTCAGCGTAAGCTATATATACATACATTAATATGGACTGTGTTCGCATTATCAGTGCTAAGCTTAAAACTCTGCCAACTTGTTGAAAGTTTTTATTCCATATAGCTGCCGAGATGAGAACATTTTGATATGGCTAATTGGGGGGGGGGGAGGCGGGGAGGGCAAGAGACCGCAACATCAAAGCTCACAGTCTCGTAGATATCTGCACGAGTAGACTCTTTTGTTTCAGGGTTTTATAATCAAAGTGAATCAGAATATCTTAATTCTGCGCCATTTAATTAGTTTTCACCCGTTTATTTCATTGAATTAGCCTTTATTCAACCAATTCTATCATTTCAGCTCCAAGTTACAAAAATATACTAATAGGTAAAATCTTTCTTTCTGAATTCTTCTTTTTCTAAATATTTCTCTTTATGTGGTCTGAGTAGGGGTGGGTTAATTAACTGAATTGCTTTCATTTTACATACCACTATAACAGGATGATGGAGTGCGCAATAGACACACCTCCACGTGGTGTTCCCCGCGAAACGTATACTCATAAGGCAAAAAGCCTAGAAATCGGCAGTTGGCTTCAAATTACCATGACCTGACTGTATGTCATATTCGAAAACTTTCATAGTACTCACTACATCTTACCTTTTTCGTTACCGTTGTGTCTGTCTCTTTTACAGCTGTGAATCACTTCTCTTTTCCAGTTCTCGAATTTTTGTGATTTTAATGTTCCTCGCCTCTGTAAATCCCGAAGTCAACCAAAGGGCTAATGTTAGCTATCCTAAAGCCTGTTATTTGATATAAGTAGATATCAGGGTGATTTAGTTTCGTAATTTTAAGAATTGCAAGCTCCATCTATATCTTTCCATCGGTATGTCCGAAGAAAAATGGCAATTTTTTGCACTACTTCCTTTTTATATCAAGCAGCCTTCTTTTCTCCAGGTGGATTATGCATCTTATACGCATGGATGCAAGTATGTTTCCACCTGTCAATTCACAACCAATCAGAAAATAGATGGTGCACTTGTATGTAACGTAAATACACTAGGTTGCTTCATGCAGTTTTTGGTTGAGAATGTTGTGGACGGTCGTTGTGTTCTGTTCCTTAATTTCTCTCACTCCGAGCAATGCCCTAATACCTCAACCCGTCTCCTTCTACATTTTCCCTCAGTACTACCTCCTACCATATCGTATTGATTACGATCACAATGCTCCTTTCTGTTTTACTCTGCATACGGCTATAAGACGACTTCTTGAAAGTTTTAGCAATCAACATCTTGTTAGGGATCTGACCACTTCATTTTACGGAAATATTACTTCTCTGAAAATTAACTTATCAACGCCTTGTAATGAACTTATGGGTCCAGTATATCCCAATGAAAACTCCAAGGAGGAGCGTAAGTTCGGTCCGTTTCATTGCATCTTGTGTAGACTGGATTCGCATACATGACGGGGTAATCAATGTAACAGCATCCGAAGTGTGGGGTGCCATACATGCACTGACTTCAGTCGCTCAACTTGTCAGATCCACGTCTGCCAATGAGGTAAATTAAGGCCTTAATTGTTGTCATTAGAAACTTCAATCCAGAAATATTTGCCCGATGCGAAGATATACGACTACCCCAGATGGCCATTTCGAAGTTTCCTGCTTGACACTGCAAGGCATTTTATTCCGCTTCCGTATATTCTTCAGTTTTTGGTAAATTCGAATAAAACATGCTGTGATTAAATATAATATCCGTGTTGTAGAGAGCCATGTCTACAGTGAAAATGAACGTACTTCATTGGCACTTAATCGATGATCAATCCTTCCCTTATCAGTCATACACGTTTCCCCGACTTTCACAGAAAGTGAGTCCCTTAATCAGTTCAAATGGATGTGAACTATGTCTGTGATCTAAAATATGAAACAAGTTCAGGAACTAGATTCATCTTAACCTTCAATTGTTTAGGTATATTTTCAATTTCAAGTTTTGTAAACAGTCGAAACCCAAATGCACACTAGAATTCTGTCCATTTTAAATAGTTCATCATTTTCTTGGATATTTTACATATACAAATCAATACAACATCGGAATTTAAATGTATCAGAATAGGTAGACAACGAGCAATTCTCGTCTATTAGGACACTAAAGTAGAATTTTTAGCTTTTCTTCCGAATGGTTTGTGTTCTCAAGCTACCACCATTCTCAATGGTGGAATACTCAAAAATCAATTCCTCATACTCGATATGTTCAATGTTCATAATTTTTCTCATGAACATTTGCATCGGTGCATATTCCCGAAAATACAATCCCAGTAGGTGAAAGGGACGATAAATTTGCGGTCGCAATTCCAAGACATTAATGTTACCCACTGGTATGAAAAATGAGGGCCTAATTATGTGGGAATATTTGCTCCATAATCATGTTTCATAATTTATACCAATGAGGTTTCGCACAACTTCACTTTCAGTAGTAATGCCTCTTTTCAACTGATGTGAATAATTCAATCTTAAAGACGCCTTGGAAAGTATATTTGTCGGATAAACACAGAAGTTGCATTCATTTGTCGTTCAGTGTATGGTTAAGATAGTGAATACCTGACAAATATATGTTTTCTCCACAAGGCGAATTTAAATGGTTGACTTCTTTATAAATGATAAATTTTGTAAAATAATTGGTAAATTTCTTTTGATATTTCGATTAACTGTCGCCAGTTTAATTATAAGCCTAATAAAAGTTGTTTTTTCTTAGGGCTTTAGGGACTTAATTATATTGATTATATTAGGAAAATCGTGGTTATGGTCTGGGAATCTTCACTTTCGCACTCATCAATTCCGGTTCAAGAATATGAACTTGAAGTTCTGGCAACTTGGATATTCATCCAGACTGTAGCGGATTGTTGTAGGAAAAAGCCTTGGATTATCACAAAATCCCTCAGTATGGTAACGCTCCCGAAATTAGCTGAGATGACTCATAATATAGAGGAAACCGTAGTATTACGTGGAATACGCCGGTTGGGGTCGTGTGTTCTGTGGTATGTCTCTCATATCTGGGAACCGATCATAGTGCTTGGGGGTGTGCGATAGGCTTACCTCCACGTGGTGCACCCTGGGCAACGTATGCTCATACGGCAAAAAGTCTATTTATCGGCAGTTGACTTCTGACTTCAAACTACTATGACCCGACTATTTGTCATATTCGACCCCGGCCACAGTCTTAGACCGGCCGATGCATTTCCACACAATGGAGACCATAATTAGGTGAGAATTAAAGACCTCAAGGTGTAACGAACATAAAGCTCGAACAAAGGAGAAACATTGAACTGGCCAAGAATCGAAGCCGTTGCTGAGTTTAGACTACGTACTGGACATGACTGCTTGGCGAAGCACCTTCTCTGAATAGGAGTATACGCTCGGCCAACATGCCCCCTATGTCACCTACAGGAGGAAGTGGAGAAGACCCACCTGATTCGGTGTCCAGCCCTAAAGACAACGACGGAAACCCAGAGATACTGGGAAGCCAGAAGTCAACTAATGAACTGTCCTAAAGCCTAAATAAATGCTCTTCCACACCACCCCCCTCCCTTGTTAAAGCCTAAGTCAACTAAGGGGCTAACGAAAAATATCATAGAGCCTGTCATTTGTAATAATAATAATTACTATTATTATTACCGTTGGGCTCAACCGTAAACTTGTCTTTAAGAGGACAACTCTTGAACATTAGAAAAAGCTTAAATAAAACAAAATAGCGACTATATTTGGCTGGCTTAATAAATTTCCCTACCACAGACCCACATCGCGCATAGTGAAATCGAGTAGAAGAGTGAACTGCAATAATTATTAATCCATTTTCACGCATTATGAAACATATATTGCAAAAGGAAATTAAAATTTAATAAAATTCAATGGATCAAATGTGAGTGTTCAATCCTAACCTGTAGTCGAAAGAAAAGCAATTTAAGAATAAGTCAATTTCTGTGACTTCCTATAGAACGTAGTAATTATCTTTGATACTCTCAAACAAATCTATTATTTCTTCATCAGTCGCTTCTTCCATAGGAGAGTTTCCTTGATTCAAAGACTGTGAAGAAGAAGCGTCCTGTGCACAAGTATCTGCTCCCTTTAAGGGTGGATTGCAGGAAGTAGGCGCAGAACTACATCCCTGATTATTTCCTTTTGCAAATCCTTCACCTTCTACGTCCTGTACTTGATATTGTTGCACTGGAGCTAAATTTGTAGCATTAGTTACCTGACAATTTGATTGAAACTGATTACTTCCAACTACAGATAATTGGTCCATATGTACTTCTCCAACAGTTTGAGTTGGTAGTGGTTGTTGCACAAGACATTGATAAGAGACACCTTCTTGAATTACATTATATGAGACAAACCCAGGTAGTATGTAATGGTAGTTATAAACAACTGTTGGAACTAGGCAAACGTAGCTCTGCTGGTCAATTAAAAGGTAAGTGGGCGGTTGCAGGGCGTCTGTAGGTGTCGAAATTTGTCCTTGACTCGTAGTATCACTGGTGTCCATTGGCATTGCTGTAGAAGATATGGCGTCATTTTGGTTAGTGCGTCTTCCATTTGAATTTGAAGTGATTTTTCGATCTCGCGTACTTGTGCGTTTCGTTCCGTGAAATGCATAAGTATCGATGCAAAACTTGGCGATCTTGCCATACAGTGCTTCTCTATTTAATGACAATATTAACCCATCTCCTGATAATTCTTGTGGCAACTGGCCTTCTGAAATTGATTCTTCATTTCCTAATACCGAGGAAATAAATATCCTTATAGCATGTGAAATTTCGAAGTGCGTAAATGTTCGATGACTTTCCTCAACACAAAGATTTTTTAAAGTATGCTTAAGGACTCCACTGATGATTGGATTATTTATTCGTTTATCTTCACACACATTTCCATCTCTGGGATTTTTGTATAGGATGTTTCCATCGTTAAAAACTCCTATTAGAGTTTCGCATGCAAGAAGATGACGCAGACAGGTCTCCGTGTCGATTGGACGAATATTGTAATGATCAAGGAGAAACTCTGTCAGAAACTGTTTGTCGGCATTCTGTTCAGTCTCAACAGCCCCCAATATCTTTTCTTGGTGAAAATCAACCTCTTCAAAGGGTGCCAAATTCTTATATAAAGAAGGGTAAAGTAGATACAATTGTCGAATATTGAATGTAGGCATATTTGGGGGAGTGGGACAAACGTCTTTGGAATTCCAGTAATTCTCGCCATCTGGCTGTTTGATTATTTTAATCTCTCCTTGTTTGACCAATTGTTCAAGACAGATCTCAATATTTGTGAGAAAAATCCCAAACCTTCGATGGAAAAACCTGCTTATTCTATTCTTATCTGTTCTTAACAGTCTTCCTTGAATCTCAGTTATGACTTCTAATATCTCATCTCGATAGAAGTTAACTTTTTCCAAAGTCGGAAATGATGCTGTGGCGGGGACACTCATTTTTTGCAACTGTAGTCTTCGCAGTAAAAAAATTATTTATGCAATCTATAATTCTTCCACATTTTGAAAATACCTGATCATAGTTCTATGTTTAGTTGATTAATCTTCATCCAATGAGTGATTAAGCACTCTTTGTGTTTAGGCGCTAACTGGGGCGATCCTAGCATTCTATCCCAGACTAACTTCGCAGATTCAATGCGACTTAAAAAACAAAACTCATTTAGGTTGAGAAACTTTCAAATCATCGTGTAGTTGAAGCGAGGAACCACAACAGTCCAACCCCTGAAAATGTGGATTTGAGGAATGAATGGTTGTACCACACCCATCCCCACTTTAGTGGGGGTATTTAGTTAGTGGTTCTTCGAGAGAGCGATGTTGTCTCATTATTTTCAAGTTTGGGGTGAGATGCACCAGATACAAGACAAAGTGATCCACAGCTCTTCTTTACGTATGGGTACCAAATTGTTGATTTTAAGTGTAAATATTGGGTCCTTCCAAGATAGACCAACTTATTGATAAAGAGGACATACCCATTAGGAAGCCGAGTTACACCAGTACGAGTCCACCTCATTGAATTTTAGAAACCTAATCTATTCTAACTCAACGCGTCTTTGTCATTCATCTACTAAAATTAAAATTCGCCTTATCCAACCTCTGGTTTTAAATCAAATACTACCCTGTGAACCTCCGCCCGCCGACCAACTCATTTTACTAAAGATTTCGAAACCTATGGTAACAGAACCTCAAAATTTACCGACTAAATCTAACGGACCTTCCAAAATAGTTGAAGCGAAGTAATGGATGACCATAAATGGTTTCAACAAAAATAGAGAACAGAATTTTAAAGCCACTAACAACCAACAGCAGCAAATACGCATGTAAACTCACAAACTAAGGCGATAATTTACTAATATAGGCCAATAGTACTGAAGATGGTGAGTTCCCGCAATTAATCAACCTGATAAATTGCCGATTTATAACCGCAACAGGAAGTAAATGGTACATTTATTAATGGATTAACCAGGTAAAACCTTTACATATATTGACAATGATTTAATTTTCCATGCCTTCTGGCTGTTCCTCATCAATGGAACGCTCGATTGGTTCCTGACGCGAATCGTCCTCATGATCTCGGGAAGCAGAGCGTGATCTGGACTTAGATAAAGATCGAGATCTGTCAGCCGGTGTTCTTGATCTAGATTTACTTACCGATGGAGAACGTGACCCTCCATGACGTGAAGACAAACGACGTGATGGAGACCTAGACCCATCCCTAGATGCAGAACGAGAGCGATCATGAGAGGGTGATCTAGAACGATGGTCCCGTGAAGTTGAACGGGTTCTAGTCTTGACAGCTGAATCACCGCCATTCCTGCTGCTAGAGCGACCACGATGACCGTTGCTACGATGTGATGCAGATCTATCAGAACGATTGGACCTGGATCTAGACCGAGATTTTCTTGACTCATCAGTACGGGAGCGCCCACTTCTTCTTGAGCGATGTCGATCAGAACGAGAGCGTCTCGTCGAAGAACGTCGATGACTGTCGGAGCGTGACCTACCTCGCCTTGATCCGCGTCTTGAACTACGACGACTGCGACTTCTCCTCCCGGACGGAGACCTTGAGCGACGACGCGGCTTATCAGCATACACCTTCAAACGGCGTTCATAGAGCATGTACCCGTCGTATTTGTTGATTGCGGCTTTCATGTCATCATAGCTTGCAAATTCAACAATCCTAAAGTGAATTAGTCTTTATATTTAGCACTCACCCTTCATTTCGAACTTGCTTGTGAGCGTCGGCGTAGGTTACTTCACCAGCTTTGCGCATCATATCTTTAAGATCCTGGAATAGAAATATCATCAAATATGGTGAACGAATATGACAGCGTTCCAAAGGCTTCATTTTGATACACAATCTAAAACTGCTGAATGGTTTAGGTGAAGTTATTGGACTGTCATACACATCTAAACAGACACGATCAGTTCAGTGATTTGCTTTACAAGCATTTAGTTTGTTAACCTCCTCGGTGGCTATGCGGTCTTTAATGCATTAAATTACCTAACAAGAACGAGCCATGCCACGTTACCGACCATGCCAACAGAATAGGGGAACCAATGTCTTTCGACCATTCGACCTGAACGAGAATTCAATGACCCGCCTTAGCGTCCTATGCGACCGCTTCCACGGCACCGAGGACCAACTGAATTTAAGACAGCCATCACATGTTAAAGCAGTGTTTCGTGGCAGTGTATCAAGTTACTACGAATAACTTCTTACCTGCCAGCTGACGCGCGACGAAAGGTTCTCGACGATAACGCGATAATCAGTACGTGTAGGAGGACCATATCGTCTAAAAACCAAGCATTAAGGAAAGAGATTTAAACCTACGATTCCCTTCTCCTGTCACTTCCCCTGCCTGGGGGGAGTCTTGCATGTTCGACTATAATTCGTTCTCCTTTGAGCTCGCGACCATGAAGATCATAGACGGCATCCTCAGCATCTCTTTCCTCCTCGAACTCCACAAATCCATAACCGGTTTTCAAGACGATATCTCGAAGTCGACCATATCCCTTGAAAAACTTTTCAATATCCCTCTCGCTACACCTTGACGGAAGCCTTCCGATGTACACCCTAGACATTTTTGAATACGAGAAAGCGAGTGGCGGAAACGATATTCGTACAAACACAGTATCACATAACGCAAGTTTTTTTGGTGAAGTTTTCCAACGAAAAATCTTCAAATAGAAAAAAATTCAGTACATTTAAATTTTAAAGGTTTAATCAGCTTATACGATTTTACATATTTATGGCTATTTGTTGCTTGATTTTAGTAAGCGCAATTCATAAAATACTGGGAATACGTTATATTGTGTAATAAAATATCAAAGTTGAAAGAGTATTGATTTACAAGGTGTGCGACATAGAAAAAGTTTTAAAATTCCGTTTGCAATCTGACGTAAAATTTGAATGAGAAGGTTTTTAAATGGCAGAAATTTTTTATTTAAGCAATATCCAACTAATGAAGAAGTACCATTTTTCATACTCAATTTACTGTTTATCCAAGCATTATTTGAGTCTTCTATGAGTCAACTATTTTGTGCTTCCTTTGCTTGGCATGCGTATTGCAATGTATGTATTTGAGGATTGATTTATATTGCCGGTTTTAGCTAATAAGTGAATATATATTTATTTTACCTTGCAATCATTGTTTTACTTTAATATGAGAATTAATTTCAAATATACAGTTGTATTCCAAAATAAAGTGTACTAACTTTAATCTACCAAATTGTTCAAACGGTCACTTAGATGCGAACATTGGGCAAATGATAATTAGTTGAAACGTGCTTGAAAACATGTCCTAGAATTTATTCTTAGTACTTCGAATGCCAATGATAATAAATATATTTTGTTTCAGAATCCGAAAGTCATTGTTTCGGATTTTATGTTTCCATTTATGAATTTTGCAGTTGGAAAAATTAAATTCAGGTAATTTTTCACAATGAACATTCTGAAGATTGTAGAAGTCATTTCAATTTTTAGATGAATTCAAAGAATTTGTAAAGTGCTGTGCTTATGCATCAAGAAACTTTAGTTAAGGAAGGTAAAATAGAGTAGAATGCGCACATTTAGAGATATATTATCGTTCAACTATCACCTTAGTTTTTGTTGAACAGTACTTCTTTCAAATTATAAATGTAAAACTGAAGTGCGAAATCTTAGTACTAAGTCGGGAGTGATTGCCGTATAACCTCCTCACAATCCATTAGTATAAATAGAACATTTTAACAGATATAATGATGTGATAAAGCATGCGTTCATAGGCATTATGGATTTACCGAAAAATTAACCAAGTACTTTTACACTTACAGACAAATTAGTATTTGGAGACAAAAACCTAAAGATCATAATCTGTACATCTTGCCGAAAATACTGAATTTGGACACTTATAAGAGTTGAGATTCAAACTTTGTAAACATGTGCTGTTTTTAATTAGATTTTATTAAGATTAATTTAAATAGTCTCAACGTAACATTTTCTAAATTCGTATTAAATTGTAAAACCGAGATCATTTATTATTGAATTATATTTTTCAAACTAGCTAAAGATATTCTAATTCCTATTACGACGGAGAATTGGAATATATAATTTAACACGACTTTGATCAAATAACTTTTTAAATAAATTAAATGATTTAGGATGGGGCCACTATTTGACCAATAAGTGCACAGCCGTTCGTAAATGACATTTTCAAATATGTTTTGTGTGCAGAAATGATCTGTGACCAGTACTTGTTTCGTCATCTATTTTCTTGTTCGTTTCTTCGATTAACTTCCCAACCAGATAATAAATTCCAAGTTTCTAGAACAAGTAATCTTAGGTATTTTGGGTAATTTGTCACCTATGGAAAATTACGGCATTTTTTGTAAATGCTTTCCATCAACAAATTGTCCCCATAACTCCTCGAAATGCCTTTCTACTATTGGTTGTTTTTATTCTATTCAGGATAGTCCCACAGGGCAAGTAATTCATGAACAGTATGGTTGTCTTTACTCTCCCTTTGCCAAGTTCAATTGCCTTTTTCAAAAGGTATCATGCTGCTTTGCTTCGACATCGTCCGACTTCTGTAATGCTCATTTCTCACTTAATGCGCAATCATATAATGTCAACACTTTGATTTTCGTTATGGCACTTCTAGTCATTATCATAATCTTCAATATTCTTTTGATATTCTACTGTAAAGGAAGATCTTTAGCTAAACACAGGTTTGTTTCTCCACAACCATCTGTCTACTTTCACGAAATTTCCGATAGCGGAAGTGGTGCTGGCAAGCCATTTCTTGTGAACCGGACGATAGCAAGGCAGATAAGTCTTCTCGATTGTATTGGCAAAGGTCGATTTGGCGAGGTTTGGCGAGCAACTTGCAATGAGGAAATCGTTGCTGTGAAGATCTTTTCCAGTCGAGATGGTGCAAGCTGGAGCCGAGAGACTCTAATCTACACTACGGCTCTACTCTGTCATTCGAACATACTCGCTTACTATGCTAGCGATATGATATCATCTGGTGGTTGTACACAACTCTGGCTTGTCACAGCCTATCATGAAGCCGGATCCCTTCATGACTTTCTCCGTTCTTCTGATGCCATTCCTCCACTTATTGGTCTTCAAATAGCTAGATCTATTGCGGCTGGATTGGCTTTTCTTCATAGTGAAGTTGTCGGATTTCATGGAAAGCCATCCATTGCTCATAGGGATATTAAATCGAAAAATATCCTCATGATGGCCAATCAGGAAGCCTGTTTGGCTGATTTTGGCTTGGCGTTAGTGAAAAATGATGGGTTTACTGATCGAGAATCCCCACCTCCTGCAAGTCCATTTGCTGGAACGAAAAGGTACATGGCTCCAGAGATACTTTCTTTATATCCTTTACTTTGGGGTGGATGGCAACATGAAAAGACTAGGTTAAAAGATGATGGTGAAGAGAATTTATCGGTTCCGGATGAATTTTCGGAGTGCAGGCATCCGATGCTCTCCTTTGAGGTCTATCAGTCAGCAGATGTCTACGCCATGGGCTTGGTTCTTTGGGAGATTTGGAGAAGATGCTGTGGTTTAGAGTATGAGGTAAATCTTTTGATTGACTTCATTGTTTTTATTATTCGTTTATCTTAGTTATTGCCTGTCTAAATTCTATAAGGAAATTACCCTTAGAGGAACAGCGTTTCCTCTTTCTAAATAAATCTCATTGAATAAATATTTTTGAGATATAGAAAAGCATAATTCGAATTTGCCCTATTTGACCCATTCTATCTGCTAATGATTAACTTTTTCCAAACTATAAGTTAATGGGTCCTCTTGAATGCCATATAAAAGGTCCATTCTTTTTGCCTTACTGGGGTTAAAAGGTACTAAAGTTGTGGAGCTCAGGTATTAATTCTGAAACTAGTTTTACGTCAAAGTAGAATGAATTATTTATTTTCTTGCTACATTTAGCTATCATTTCTTTATTAAAAAAATTGAATTTCTCCTAGAAAATTTCTGTGGCCTTTTCCAATTAGATTATTAGCCTTCAATTTGACTTTATTTAGTTACCTTACTATGACGCGGTGCCCATGGACCCCACTTTTCTTCAAATGTATCGAGTTGTGGTTATGGGCGAGGCAGTAGAAGAAACGGAGAATAATTCCATGCATCCACCCGTTATTGATCTTCCTGTTCCTCTTCAAACCTGCCATCTTTGCAGCAACCACTTGCTTCGGCGTCGCATTAGTAACCAATACCAACCTCTTCAACACTGTTACCCTGAAGGCAGAAGACCTTCTCTATCAATGCAAGGGGGTTGGCTAGGACGATTAGAAGATCTCATTGTTGAATGTTGGCATCCAATTTATACTCACCGTCTCTCTGCTCTAAGGTTGAGGAAGTCTTTAACAGTTCTGGAAGCAAAGCTTAAAAATTCATGATTGGGACCATACTCACACTCAAGTGCCTTGTTTTCCCAATGTACTCATTCTTATTTTATGAGCTATTGTGTACCCACCTCTTGTGTACATAATGTAATTGCACAATCTCCATATCTTTGACAGCTCACTATTCCTTCTGTGGAGAAATCCATAACCATGTGCATTCTTTTATAATCATATCCTTCATTTAATATTTTATGTACAAATAATAATTGTCTCTTTACTTTTAAAGTACTACGGAATTGCATACACACACACACACACACCTTGCAAGGAATATTTGTATCCTTAACTAAATCGTGAAAGCAAATACGCGGATCTGTTTTTCACTTCAAGATGTGGGCAATTTTTATCTTGTATTTAATGCACACTTGCGAAGAACAAACTGCAGGCGATCTTCTCTGGCCATTGTGAAAAAATTGCGAAATCGGCACCTGAACGGCGCCAATAGTTACCAAAGAAGGGGCGGAATTCGTGAAAGAAGCTATGAAACAGTCTTTGCTGAATTGAATGTGGTCTGACAGTTAAATTGTAAGGAGAATAGTTTAGATGAAGTTGTTGCACCCAATATAGGAATAGATAGCCGCTAACTTCATCACTACTGCATACTATGACGACTGTGAAAACGGTACAAAGACTTGAAGGTCAATTCTTTTAATTAAAAAAGTGCAAATGAGAAGTGTAAAGCTGAATATTTACCTAGTTAGTGGCATAGGAGTAACGCAACCTGTTCCATAGTAGTGTTTATAGAATGATCACAAATGAAAAGTCTGATGTCAAAAGAACGAACATCTCTTGGGAAATTTTATGGGTTGTGCTCTGATAGCATTTAAAAGCGGAATCGACAGGCTGCAGGAATGCAACACTGGGTAGTGGAGATTTGTCTTACTTTATAAAATATTAACAGTACCGGTATTTCTACATCAGTATGCCATCTATGATTGAATCAATGGAAATGACTGGAACAATATCATAAAAGTGGAATAACAGGAGAAGTTGAGGTATAGAGATGGCCAGTTGCAAGAATGGGCCGATACGTATGGTAATATACAAATCATTAATTCAATTCATGAAATAATTTAGTAAGTTTTAGGGAAACTTTAAGCGAAGGTTTGATCTAAAGAATGATAGCCAGACAGGTTAAAGTTAAAGAATCAATTTTGATCATAGCAGAGAAAAAAACTTTAGATGTGTGAAACTCATTCACTCGATACTCCAAGTCTTCTCATTCCCTAACATTCACACTTTGTGTATGCGCAAACCCAATGAGTAGACTAGAACGTGATAGTGCAAAAAGTGTGGAATTCCGAAATGACGAGATAGTTCTAGGAGGCAGCAATCACCTCCAAGTGAACGATTTATATGAATCTATGAGGTTGATTCGCATTCACAGGTTATCAAACTGTAGAGCAAATAATGGGACATAGAGTAAAAGATAAACGATTAGATGTAAATTTATTACAAAAGCTGATTGAATTCGATAGCTTACAAACCCTACAGTCCAAGAGCAGGAGCAAGTTCATTAGCTTCATCCATCTCTTTGACAATATCAACACCACCAATCAGTTCACCATTGACATATAGTTGTGGATATGTAGGCCAATTGGAGTACTTTTTCAGTCCTAAAACGGAGAAACAGTTAAGGGACACATTTGAAAAAAACCAAAGGAAAATGATGTGTACCTTCACGAACAGTATCATCGTTAAGGATGTTGAATGAACCGAACTTGACGTTGTATTTATTAAGGATTTCCAACATGGCTCGGCTGAATTTGCACTGGACTCCTTCGGGTGTACCCTTCATGAATAGCATTATTGGAGCTTGGTTGATAAGGGCTTTAAGGCGATCGTTTAAACTAAGAGCGGGTACACTGGTGTCGCGCAGAGAAGAAACAGTTTTTGTTAATTCAGCTGCATTTGCCCCCTGAATGCGAGTCATTTCCTTCCCCTTCTATTAAAAAGTGAAAGAATCAAGTCATGGATGATGAAATGTTGTGCTAAAGTAAGCAAAACAAATACTTACTTTAAGTAACAAAACTGTTGGAACTGAATTGACTTTGTGTTCGTTACAAAATTGTTGCACGTCTTCTGCATCAACCTGAATGGGATAAAATAATTGATAAAAGATAACGGGAAATTAAGAATAGGGTTGAACTAATAAGTTACCATAGCAAAACGAATATTGTTATTACCATCTTCCTTTGCTAGGGTCTGAAACACTTCGGTTATCTGCTTGCATTCATTTGCCCATTTGGTATGAAGGCAAATAAGTGTTGGTTGTCTAAAATGAAAATAACACAGTAAATACGCTTACTCGGACTCATTAATGAATTCCTTAAGTTCTTCCAAATTCTTTAGTTCTAATGCAGGCATTTGAAGGGGCCTCTCGAGCTATAACAATTCTACTGACCCAACTAATGGTATAGTGGGTCCGTCAGTGTGAATAATAAATAAATCCAAAATGAAACTCTATTAAACTCGATGAAAAATATAAATAACCAAAATCTATCTTTTGTTGGATAAACACTGAGAATATAAAAATTCTTTAGTGTGTAAGTATGCAATTAGATCACTTAAAGAAGTTACTCACAATTGTTCAAAATCGAAGTATTTTTAGTTATATCTTTGTAGAAATTTGATAATATTTATTTTTCAGCGTCCGTTGCTAGCATGATGACCTTGTATTGACCATTAAGTGTTACCTGTACTAGCCAGCAGCCTCATTATTCGGTATTTTCATCCCATAATTTCAACTTTGCATTTTGATAGTTTTGGTTTTTAGCGAAGATTTTTAACTCCAACTAGAACGCATGATGTATTTAGCGGTGGACAATTTTAATATTTTAAAATCTTGCGCTGCTTTTTTGTGGAACACCCTCAATTTAAATGTATCTTTTGATTATTAGGTATAGTAAATGACTCCTAAACTTTTTATTTCCTTTTTAATACGTCCTTCAGGACCAATGTATTATTGCTGGAACCTCGGTGTTATTTAACTCTGTAATCAATGCGATCGAACAGATCTTCTAAGCATAAACGCAAAGCTGACCAGCAGTTCTTCCAAGTGGAAGCGATCCTTGATGAGCGTCGAGTAAATGATCAATTAACCTACAAAGTCCGATGGGTTGGATATCCTTCCAGTGAAGACACTTGGGAACCCGAGGAGAATTTAACCAGCGTACGAAATCTCATAGATCAATTTCATAAGCAAAAACGTACGTCCTCCCCTTCTTCAATTACCTCACAGTGCTCCAGAAAAAGACACGCCGGTTCTTCAAATGAATCAAATTCCTCAAAATCACGCCAAAATTCGCCATTTTCATCGAGCAAACGCCGAGCAACCAAATGTCGATCCGGTTATTATGAGTACGTTCCGCAAAGTCAACTTGTCGCTTCTAAGACACAGTTCTTTAACGATATAAGTGAGGGAAAGGTTGATCTGACGTCTGATTTGTATTCTCGGGTGAAAAATCGAAGAAGACACCACCAGGATGAGCCTCTTAGTCGTCCTTCTAGTCTCTTAGAAATGAATGAATTTAAAGGCAGTTCTTCACTAACTCCACCCACTCGGCATAGTGAGCCTTCTACACCGAAAAATTTCATCCAAACCTCGAAAACCCCTTCAGAACGAGCAGAATCGGTGTCTTCGATTTGCTCTCATGTTCAGTTATTTAAATCTGATGTCGACAAAACGATGATGAAGGATGACTGTTCTACTACTTCGAATTCAAAGTCTTCCTTGAAACTCCAACTGAGTCCTGTTGATCCTTCTCCTCCTTCACCAAAAAGATTTCCTGGAGAACTGTCAGTTAATTTCCCTGTTGAACAGGAATTTTCGAATCGGTCTAAGGTTGAATCACCAAGGCAGTCATCGGCTTTCGAAGAAAAGCTAGAAGAAGATCACAATGAGGGTTTGCAATTTGAAGTTGATTCACCCGTGTTGGTAAGTTAGTAATTTCCAGAAAATCTGCGTAAATTTTGTTTTTACTTGAAATTCATTTCTACGCCTGGCTTAGGTTGAAGACGTAGAAGAACCATGTATTCCGCGTCCTTTAGTTCAGTCAGCCCAAAAACTGATGGCCATCTATCGCGATCTACACACCTCAGAAAATAAAGAAGGGAGTATTCTATCCCAATTTCCCGAGGTTTGTCCTTACAGCGATAATGCATCAATTCGCTCACTGGATAATCTACTTTTTGCTATAAATAATCACCACTGGACACTGCTTGCGACTCAGCCAATTGAAACTATGTCGATGGTTCCTTATCCTGGCTCCCAACATCCTCTAGTTGCAGCTTTAATAGGGGGTGAGGGGAAACCATTTCTGCTCCGGCGATTACTTCAAGTCGTCAAGGATCCGAATTTCGTGGACCCTGTTTCAAAGTGGCCTCTTCTTGTAATTGCCGTCTTCTATGGACGCGTTCAAGCTGTTGAAGTTCTCCTCGAACAAGGCGCAAATCCAAACTCATCGATTATTGTAGATGGAAGACGAATGACTGCCCTTGGGGTTGCTATTGCAACAGGAAATGTGGATATGGTTTCTCTACTCATTCTTAATAGAGCTAATCTCTATAAAGTCAATGGGGATATGACATCTATGCAGTTTATTGATCAATTAATCATTGCCGCAACTCCGAAAACACATCATGATATTATTTTCCAACCGTCTACAAAATATGGAATTACTAAAGATGCAGCTAGGCAGCAGTACAGTACTCTATCGAGAGACCCTTCCACAATTCCACCTATTGAACCTCCTAATGATATTTATCTTCCGCGTTCTCCTTACCTCACTGCCCTTACTTCTTCAGTGGTACCACAGAGTGTTTCTACATCTTTTCATATGTCATTTGATGATCAGCTATCAAAGATCCCGTCTGCTGACTCACTGAACTGTATCTATAGATTAATATCATCCCTCCACGCTCGACTTTTCCTTGAAATTGATCGAGTTGTCTCCCAGTGGCTACGTAAAGTCGAAATGGCTACTGTATCTGTTGTTGACAAGGGTCAGTGGATTTGTCTTCAAGAAGATTCCTTCAAGATCACTTTTCCAACACCACTTAAGGAAGATCCTTCCACGGTTTGCGTTCTCTTTCTTATCCATGGGACGGTAACCCCGCCTGGATGTTACCATCTTTGGTTAGGCGACGATGGACCGTGTTTTGTAGATAAAGTTTTCTTAGGTGTCGAACAAAGACCTCTTGATCGACTCTTTTTCGTATCTACTCTATTCCCTCTAAAAAGAGACGAAGAACATCAATCTGTATCTGTTTTTCTCGACCGTGAAAGGCGAAAGGATGTCTGCATCATACCCTTAGTTCTTCGTTTGAAACCTGTGCCGAAACCTACGCCAATTCTGGTTGCAGATGATGGGATTCAACCTTCTGAACTACCGAGACTTAGGCAGCGTCTGTAAAATTATTCAAATTTTTAAAATTCGTGATATACCTACAATATTTTTATTTGCTCAGATACTAGGATATTCAAATTTTTTGTTCTTTCAAAACGCTGTGATATATACATATATATATATATATATATATATATATATACATATTATGTGAAACGACGATATTGCATTGCCACTATCCTTCTTCCAAAGTGTTTGTTTTCTCCTCCTCCTCGTTAATCTCTTCTTGCTGTTGGCCATGCTATTTCCGTAGTGCTTACTTTATTGCGATATTGTTAGTAGTTATTCATTTAGTGTTTATTGTTTTTTTGGTGAAGATCATTTGGAAGATTTCAATAAAACCTGTGATACGTATCTGCTTTTTTTACTTTTTATTGCTGTTGTTGTTGTTGTGGCGTTGGGCTCGGTAATTTTATTGGCGTCTTACCTATGGAGCAAGCTATTATATGCAGTCTGTTTTTTAAGAGATCGGTCTTGGTTCTTTAGGTCGGTTGGGGTGGGGTGTTGACTTGAAAACCTCCTAGACGGTTAATTGCAACATTGGGTAATCAGGTGATGAAAAGATAAAAAACTAAGTTCTTATCGAAGAAAATAGATCAAGTGAAGACATAGGCGGCATCATTAAGTGAAATGGAGACGGTAGACACTGTAGAAAGGTTAATAGAGCATAATTGGTAATTGATTTTCTACTTTGAGTAGGAAAAGTCACAGGGTATAGGGTTATTGGGAAAGTCAATTAATTAATATCAAATGGCAGGCATTTTGATAGTTATCATAAGCCCCTTAGTTGACTTCAGGCTTCACAGAGAAGAAGGAACATCAAAGTGAAAAAAAGTCGAGAGGGGGAGGGGAACAGAAGAGTATTTCAAAGATGTAAAAGAGACAGGCACAAAGGTAGAGTGAAAAAGATGAGGTGAGTACTGTGAGAGTAGTCGAATATGACATACAGTGAGGTGATGGTGTTTTGAAGTCGGAAGTCAACTGCCGGTTAATAGACTTTTTTGCCGCATGAATATACGTTGACCAGGGTGCACCACGTGGAGGTAAGTCTATCACACACCCCTTTTGGGAAAGTCAATGAAAGAGCGACACTTGTGAGACCATATGTGGAATACTAAAGAAATAAATTTAAATATTTGGAGAACTTGTTTATGAGGAAAATATTATTAGTTCCAAAATTAATCTGATTAAATTCATTTGTAAATGAAAATCGATTCAAAAAGTCATTTTATTTACTCCTTGGGCTTATTCCTTTCGATTTAAATACTTATTTATATCAAATGGTAGGCTTTGTGATGGTTATCATAAGCCCTTTAGTTGACTTCGGGCTTCACAGAGGGGAGGAACATCAAAGTTGGAAAAAAGTGGAGAGGGAGGACAGAAGAGTGATTCACAGATGTAAAAGAGACAGGCAAGGTAAGATGACATACTATCGGGTCATGGTAGTTTGAAGTGAGAAGTCAACTACCGGTTAATAGACCTTTTTGTCGTATGAGTATACGTTGCCCAGGGTGTACCACGTGGATTCGTGTCTATCACACAACCCTAGACTTAAATAAGGATAACCGATAGTTTGCCAGCTTACTTGTAGAATGGCAGTTAAATTA